GAGATGAAATTGGAGAAAAATGCTGAGGATGTAATTTCAAGACAATAAAAAAGTCTGTTTGTAGTGAAGAACAGAGAGATCTGCTGTAACTCTTAAAGATCTGCTGCCTCCGACTGTTTTTGTCAAACCAACAAGATTTAAAGTTCGACTTTAAATTAGTCCAGAAAGCTTCCAGATGCAGAAAATGCTTTTTTACTTCCCACCTTTTCACACACACACAAAAAAACTGAATATATTATCGAGGAAAATCCATCACCACCCTCCTCTCCTGTTCACTCAGAGGTCTCAGATTAGCATAGGCTTCTCTGCGGGTCCAGGGTTCCTGCTGAGTCTGGTGTCAGACCAAAGGGCGAACACAATCAGGCGCTCCAGGTGCTCCTCTACCACCCATGTCACCTGCTTGTTTACGCTTTTAGCCCACGGCGGGGGAAAAAACCATCAACAAGACGTTTACGTTTCCAGCTGACCTCCGCTCTGGAGGAGCAGGAACAGTTTTCCGAAGGGACAAGTCCGTTTAGAAGTTTTCGTGCAGCATTAAAAATCACGAGCTCCTCTTGTTTCGTGACTGCTTCCCGGAGACGTCCCCCCGCAGAGAGAGCAAACAAAACATCGCATGACTTGAAGTGGACTTTCTGCTCTCTGTCTTTGTATCCCAGGAGGATGGAGAGGGAGGTCGCCGGTTCTTGAACTGACTTGTTAGAGGAGCAGCAGTTACTTCAGGGACAGGAGGAGACTGGATAAAGCTTTGGTGGTGACCTCTTCTTGACACTGGAGGGAGAAACTTTTTTCTGCAGAAACTTTTGAAAGGTAACTTCTCGATTGGATGATGAATCTGATCAGCTCTGGTTCTCCTTCAGGCCACTGAGACGCTGTTTTTGGAGACGTGTCTTGAAAATATTGGATGAAGAAACTCTAGATAAACTCAGAGAGGTACCAAACTGTTAGGTTTGTTATTGAGGGGATAAAACCTGGTGACTCTGGTTATCTCGGACCTGTGCACCTCTAACAGAAGGCGTCCTAACCAGATGCCCGAGCCACCTCAGCTGACTCCTCTGGACGCGGAGGAGCAGCGGTTCTCCTCTGAGCGCCTCCCGAGTGTCCGAGCTCCTTACCCTATCTCTAAGGCTGAGCCCGGACACCCTGAGGAGGAAACCCATTTCAGCCGCTTGTATCTGCGATCTTGTTCTTTCGGTCATTACCCAAAGTTCATGACCATAGGTGAGGATCGGCACGTAGATCGACCGGTAAATCCAGAGTCTCTCCTTACGGCTCAGCTCTTTCTTCACCACCACTGATCGGTTAAGCGTCCGCATCACTGCTGACGCCGCTCTGATCCGCCTGTCGGTCTCCCGCTCCATCCTACCCTCACTCATGAACAAGATCCTGAGATACTTGAACTCCTCCACTTGAGGCAGGACCGCCCCTCCGACCTGGAGAAGGTGATCTACCTTTTTCTGACTGAGGACCATGACCTCGGACTTGGAGGCCATGGCAGGAGCTGAAGGTCACTGCTCGACGAAGTTAGAAGAACCACATCATTCTTCGCTGATTAAATAAAAAATATAATAAAATAAAAAATCTTTGACTTCTGATGCACCACATGAAGTCAAATTAACACCAACTTGTGTGTCTCCACGGTGTTGGATGTACTAATGATTCACTGAAACTGTTATCATGATCAAAACCAGGAAGTAAAGAGATGGAGGTTTTTTCCCTGAAGCTCCTTTGAGGAGATTTTCAGCTGGTATGAAACAAACTGAATCTAATGGGGATGTCTCTGTATGACTCACAAAAGAAACCGAGACCACGAGGAACATGGAGGATTTCTTTATTCGAGTGTTTTAATGCCTGTAACTGCTGCAGGGGGGAAGTGTCCGACCAGACGACTGAGAGCTCGGAATAAAAAAGATGGTTTGACTTTTTTATCCTGCATGAAACATTCATGGCGAGTGATTCGTTTGACTGTTTAAAGACGGCGGGAGGAGGAGTGGTCAAAAAACAGGAAGTGCACGTGTCCAGAACAAGACCAGCAAGAAGCTGAGAGATCTGGATCGGTCCACAGGGGTCACAGATTACACACCAGGAGACGGTTTTAATACGACTCAAGTTTCATGTTTCATGACTCAAGAGTCTTTCTGAAACATGATCAACACTGAGACGTGTCAAGAAGTGGACGTACAGAGAGTGAAGCTGCTTGTTAATTGGTTAATAATACTGGACTCTGATTGGTCAAAACCCTTCTGGAGTGAAGTGACAGCAGGGACATCCTGATCACATGACTCCATGTGAAGGACTCTGGCATGTTTCACCTCCGTTTGTGGACACTCTGAGAAAAACTGTAGAAGCGGTCTAAAGAGGTTCAGGACCCAAACCCTCTACAGGCAGCAGAGCCGGTGGAGGTACCAGACAGGGGTGGGAGAAAAACATGGATTCACATAAATATCATAATTTTTGTTTGATTCATTTATTTTTATGTTAAAAAAATAATAATTAAAAAAATAATAATAAATTTACAAACTGACTCACTTGTGATGTGTATTTTTTGGGGAAATATGGTTCCTAGAAGAGTCAGTAGACAATCATAATTATTCAACTGTTTCACTGTTTGTTAAAAATACAGACTAAAGATCAAGAAAATCGACAATTTCGTGGAATCACAATTTAAATTGAATCGGCATCCAAGAAATCGTAAAAGAATTGAATCGGGAGCATATCATTCCAGCCCTAGAACCAGATGTGTTCGGGCTGCCAGATCGGCTCTGGGTCCGGCGCCTATTGATGACGTCATGCGATATGATTGGCTGGAAGTTGGTTTGGATGACATAGAAGTTTGTGGTTGGTCTGGACGTTACAGAAACGGTTTTCGACGGATTAGGTTTCATGGGATAAAAGCAAAACTATCTATTGATCAACAGAGATCATGCGTAAATTTTTTTTCTTTTTCATTCAGAAAAGTTTAACCGAGAACATTTGACTTATTTAACATTTGACTTTGAATCAAAACGTAGAGTGGACCTGGTCATGTCTGGAGTTGATAGGTTGGTCTAAAAGCAGGATTTTATGAAGAAAGCAGACGGTGGAGAAAAGTAGGACCCCGACATGAAGGGCGGGTCACCGTGACTCCCAACAAAAACCTTTTCAGCATGAACACCTCCTCAGATTTTCTCCTCTCCATCTCCGTCTGAAAATGATGAGACATTTATCGGAGACAGAAAGAAGAGTCATCCGGGGGTCTGTTGGACTGATGATGAGTCAAGGTGTCAACTCCCACTGATGTTAACGTTTACCTCCGAGCTGAACGCTCACAGCGCTGCCAATTTCAGTTTCAGCTCGACGCGCCGACAGGTGGACTGAAAGACGAACCCCCGCCTTTTGAGAGTCGACCAAGTTCTAACACCTGATTTACCGCCTCCCTGAAGAGGACCGGTGGACAAAGAGGGGATCTGGATCAGCTGGTAAGTCTGACAAAGATGTGTATTTGCTGAAAACGGACTCTTGAGCTGAATCCGCACGAACCAGATCAGCACACACCTCCATCAGGTCACGGCGATGTTGGCGTGCGTCAGGGAAAAATGCTCCGAGCCTCAGCGAGTAACGAAGCGCCAACGGCAGCACACAAAGCAGATAACGTGTCAGTGATTAAGAAAGCAGATGTGACAGCGGCTGCAGACGCCTCAGTCAGCATCGAGCTCCTCAAAGACCTCGGACAGCTCGCCCTCCTGCTCTGCTGACACGATGGAATCAGAGTCAAACCTCGCTGTCCTGATCGGAGAGAGCGAGAGTCGGAACATTTAACGCTCGACTTCTTCATACGTCTGTTTATGTGTGTTTTTACAGGGACAAAGACTCGTCACAGCTGAGTCTGAGCCTTTTCTTCAGCCTGAAGTCTGGTTTTCACTCCAGGTTGGAGAAGTTTGAAGGACTCTTGACACACTTTCCCTGTCCGTGTAGAGCTCTAAAAATGTACGCAGCTCACTTGGTAGACAGAGTACAACCTAAGACTAATTCCTCACCTCAACAGCCCGGGTTTGACTCCTGCTGAGGGTCTGCGGTCTCTCTTCAGCTGTCAGTAAAGAAAGAAAAAAGACTCACAGACGTCTGAAGACAGCGGGGCTCACTTCACCTGCACAGACAACTCCGTTTTTAAACATCTGTGCGGTTACACGTACATAATTGATGTCTTCAGTCAACTGTGCAGAAAGGTCGGTTTACTACGGCTGAGGAACATGTTCGACACTGACAGCTAACTCATTTTAACTTTGCGAGGATACACACGGTCGGTCGGTGAGTGAGGAGCGGTGTGAGTTTCACCTCCGCTCCCGTCAGACTCGTCCTGCTCGATTATCTGACGACTTTCATGTTTTTATTTACAGCTGAGACAGAAAACAGCTCCAGTGTTTTTCCTCTCAGCAGCACAAACTTTAGTCCTGATTTAATCTAATCAGACATTCACCCTCGTTCGATATCTACAGTCTGTACGATAAATAAACCACGGCGCTTTAAGACGACAGCTGTTACCATGTTTCACTTGGCATTTTTACATTGACACTAATGGGGTTTCTTTGTCTTCAAGAGCCGGCCTCTAGTGGACACTTCAGGTACTGCAGTTTTTCGAACCCCTGAGTTCGCCACTTTAATGAGACTGTAGATTATATTAAAGGGATAATCCGGCGTAAAATTAAGTTAGGGTAAAACACACCGCACTATACCGAGTTAGACCCCCCCTCCAGAGATGAATGTTGCCGACCGCTTTCTTCTCTAGTTATACCAACTTTAGTAACGACCGCAGGATAGTAATACAGAGAGCCACACCCTCAACCAAAACGCCACTCTATAGCCACGAATAAAACAGAATAAAAACAAAACAGAAGCGCTAATAAATAAAACATTACGAGAGCTTTCCCTGTTACTCTTTACCGTTGATGTGCTGCGCTGCCATTTTGAATTAAGACGTTGTTGTCAAGTTGGAATTGACGAGGATCGTCCAACTTTCCGAGTCAGAAATCTGACTTCAGGGGGGCGTTCCAGATAAATTTCCGACACAGAGTTCAGAAATCACGACTTCCGAGTACAGCTAGAACACAGCGTAAGTTACTGAATACAGTAACGTTGTTATGTAACAGCGTTACTAATAACCCGTTACTACTCGGCACTGATGGAAACATCGATACTTTGTGGCCGAGTTTCCTCGATTTTGTGGCGAAGATCTCATTTTGAACTCGATGTAACAGCCTCAACAGTTTTATCCCCGTCTGTGATTTAATGTCAAATAAATTCAACCTCATCTTTCATCCTCATTCACGCTCGTCCAGCAGACTGGATCAAAAGCGACAGCTGCAAATTATTCAAGCATCTCTGGTTTTGTTTTATTCGCGAGCAGATGACAACAACACTAAACCTTCCCGTTGATGGTCACACTGATCGCTCACAAGGTCGCTCCGGTTGTAAACGGAGGAATCTTTGAAGAGATGAAACCGGTTTGAGATTTACGGGCCGAGCTCTGACAAAGTGTTTCCAGGAGGTAATGAGTAAAGATACGAGATTAAAATTGAACAGCCTGTAATGACTTATGTATGACCTTTTTCACGGACGCCAAACTCCATTCTTTCAATAAAAAAAGAGTCAAACGTCGCCTCGGAGTGTAAGAGCACGGTTTCATAAGTTATCATTTCAGTCACACACACGCACAATCTGTCCTCATTTGTCTGTCATGAGGCGCTATGGTTAGGGGGGGCGGGGGGTGGGTAATGCCGAGGGGACGAGGCCCAGTGGTGAACACTTCCCCCCCCCGGGAGGCCTGAGTGCCTCTCTCTCTCCCGTCTGGAGCTTCATCATTTATAGACGAGACAAAATAAAGCAAACACAACAAAACGGCGTGAAGCCTGAAAGCTGCAGCTCTCACATATTACACCCTCACACACACACACACACACACACACACATGGAGATGAGTTTGTCCAACTCCTTGTTTCCTGCCTCCCAGCATCCCTCAGCGAGCGGCAGTCAGGTGGAAACCCTCTATTAGGAGAACAACCATGCTGCACGCCGCGTGTGAGCGCGTCAGGCTGGATGTTACATTAATGGAGTGATTAGCCCGGTTATTAAAGCTAAATTTACTCTAAATGTTCTGCGTCTATTTCTGCACCTGCAAGTACCCTGATTAGCATACAGCTATTAGCATAAGCATAGCCTGGCAGAGCTGTTTGTGTCTGTGGAAGAGAGAGAGAGAGAGAGACAGAGAGAGAGAGAGAGAGAGCGAGAGAGGAGGTGAGGAAGGACTAGTTGTCATCAGTCACAGATGACAACTCTCCACTGTGTGCTTGTGTGAGATTTATAGCTCCCTACCAGGGACGCCATGTTGCCTTTGTTGCTCAAACTGAGCTGACGGACAGACACCGTGCTGTCAATCAAACGTCATCTGTCAAAATTTAAAGTCCACTTCAGAGCGGCGCGAGGAGGCGTTTAGCCGGAGTGTGACAGAGGAGACTCAGCAGGTTTAGAAGAGGACCTGAAACGCTGTCATAGATCTTCGTCTGACCCACCTGGACTAAATGTAGTCTGGAGGAGTTTCAGGGACACGGAGGACTTTTCTTTTCTGATGATGTGTTTTCAGAGAGAAGGTGAAAATGTCAGGAATGAAGTCAGAATGTGAGGACAGAGAATGTGGCCAACAGGGGTGGAGCTGGAGGGGGACTCGGGGGGAACATGTCTGCCCACTTTTTCAGCCTGTTCCAAAATAATTATAATTATAATAAATAACAAGCTACCAATAACAATAACAGCTACGGTGTTGACATGTCAGAGACTAATCAGAGTTATTTATGTAACATGAGCCACGATAAAAGGAGATAAAAATGACCTGTTCAACTAAAACTCTGCTGTCTCTGCGTCTGTTTTCTCCACCGCTCCAAGGATGACCCGATGGTTATTCACGTTAGATTCCTCGCTTGGTCACATGTCCTCTTCGACTCCGCCCTTTCTTTTGTTGGCCTGTGTTTTCGTCCCACTTTTGGTGGTGGGGCGAGCAGAAGTGTTTTTGTTTTTGCGTCCTTCTCCATCACAGCTCCTGTAGCTAAGCTGCTACGCTACTTTTAGCCGCTCAGAGCTCCAGGAGAGAGGGAGGGGACGAGTTGGAACTACGGGAGAGGTTGGGGTCGAATACAGCGAGATGATTGGATGGAGAGGCGGAGCAGGAGATTGACCAATAGGAGCTGACCGGGACGGATGGCTCCCATTGGTCAATGTTTTTGCAGCCCTGCACCTGATAGGGTGAACGGATTCAGGTGTAAAATCTAGTGACAATCCGATGGTCACTCTCTGGTGGTGGGCATCCCATCATGCATTGCGTCATGCTGTTGTGTATAGTAAAATCCCATATGGGGGTCAGGGGTTAGGGACTGAGTGATTCATTTCGGACAGCCGTCCTTACAGCCGTGTCGGTAGACTCCTGTACGGCCTGTTTCCCCCTCACATGTGTTGGTTTTCTTTGGACCCTCCACTTTTGCTCCTAAAGTCCAAAAACCCGCTGCTTCGGCTCATCGGTGATGGTCACACACTGACACACACCTGTGACTGACCCGTACAGCCCGCCTCTCGCTCATTGACAGCTGAGATTGACTCGACGCCCCAGGGACCCTAAACGGGGAAGACGGTACAGACGAGATGGATGGACTTTTGTGTTAAAACAGAATTGAGTCTTATTTAGCTCTGGGTGAAGGCTCATCGATTCCTCCTGATTGGCCCAGAACAGCAGATAATGGAGTAGAGGAGGTGTGTGACAACCACATACAGGTTTGTCTGTTTGTCACTCTTCAGGAGACGCTGAGAGGAGAGCCAGTCTTTTATTTGTTATCATCTCTTTTCACTTGTTGTCAGCAGAAAACCTCACGCTGAAATATTGACTGAACCTCTGGTTGTCTTTTGTTGACGGCCTGAATAAAAACGGAGATCCTGCGTGTTTGTTCATCACACTTCCAGAGGCACAGACTGAAGAAATGATCTCAGACACTCTGCTCCACAGGTTCACCACGGACTGGATGAGCAGGTTATGATTGTTTTTTCAGACAAACATGTTTTTGATATTTTGATAACAGCTAAATGTGAGGAAGAAACCAGAACCGTGATGACCTCTGACCTCTGCGTCCTCTGGTTCCATTGTGAAAATGGAGGTTAAGCACCGAATGGATTAAAGAGAAAACAACAACTTTATATCGATGTTTCACACGGGGAGAAAACTCCGGGACACAAACCCTCGTCTCCTGGGGACAAAGACCTTTTGTGTAGGACACAAATTGCTGTCTCTTGAGGACACAGACCCCAGTCTCCTGGGTGAAGTTCCTGTGTGCCTCTATGTTTGTACATCATCAGCTGATCTCCCCAGAGTATGAGGGCCGGAGCGTTCGCTCGGAGAATTAAATCCACACAGGTGAAAATTAGAGTTAGTAGAAAGTCTCATATGAGGAGTGAAGGAAAAACGTTTCCACACACTGAAAGGAAAGATCCAAAGTCGGGGTGAACAGGTTTGGTGGACAAGATTCACAAGAATTCCAACCTGACAATGTTGGAAATTTGTGTGCAGCACAGGAATTTTCCTTCAGGGATAAATAAAGTTCTTCTTATTCTTATGTTTGAAAGGGGCTTTAATTTCAGTTTTGACAACCTGACAATGTCAGAAAATAGTCAGGACTCTAAAACATGTTTTAATGGTGCTGTAGTCTCAGTTTTTGAAATTAGATGATCAGGTTTTAAAGATTTGTGTTGGCCTTACAAGTACCTGGAGGAGAAACTCAGCAGAGTTTTGTGTTTACACCTGCTGCTGCATTAACCTCTTTAAGCGTTGACTTACTTCCTTAGAGACATTACGGTAATGGCAGTGCGGTATTCTGCTAAAAACAGCTGTTGTTGTGGTGCAGAGGCGTGTCACTTTTGGAGTGTGTGAATGAATCACCACAGTAGTAGGGTAAGTGGTGTAGTCAGGATCTGAGTTAGTTCCAGTTTTTAGGAGAAATCTTGAATGTAAACTCGACCCCTCCAAACCAGTTTTCCCCTCAGCTCCTCCCCTTAAGCCCCGCCCACAAACAGACGCTCCTGCTCGCTCGTATCGTTCCAATTAAATTCAGATATAATGCAGATAAATACTTCAGATCATTACAAATGGGGCCCAGTCAAGGTGAAAGTCAAAAGCATTGGTGCTACTGTAGATGCCAACAGACTACCAGCAAACACAATGTTTGCAGGACTTCTACAACGAGGATAAAGTGACATAGTCCAGGACCCGAGGGAGGACAGTTTAGCGATGACGCTACAACACGCTACAGCAGGTCCGTTTGACAAGAAACACTTCTGTTACAGACACTTGTCTTACTTTGTTAAAGCGGTTTACCTGTCCAGCAGAAAGGTTACAGGGTCACCAAGATCCCCAAGCGTCCCCCATGGTTTATGTTGACCCGGCTTTTTAGCTCTTGTCCGGTCTACCTCCGTTTTAAGCGCCCGTTATTCCTCCAGAGTCTCCGGTATTTACTTTGTTTTCTTGCTTGTGTCGGCAGTCGTGGCCAAAGGAGGATTCAGACAATTTTCCGAACTTTCTGGTTGGTTTCTACTGTCCGATATTGTAGCACGCTAACTTTGTTTGGGCTCCTGAACGACACGGGGGAGCAGCATTTTCTTGTTGACTGTTTTCTTGTTGCCTGTTTTGGTGTGGACTGTTTTCTTGTTGACTGTTTTGGTGTTGACTGTTTTCTTGCTGACTGTTTTCTTGTTAACTGTTTTCTTTTTGACCGGTTTGGTGTTGACTGTTTTCTTGCTGACTGTTTTCTTGTTGACTGTTTTGGTGTTGACTGTTTGTGGTTGACTGTTTTCTTGTTGACTGTTTTCTTTTTGACTGGTTTGGTGTTGACTGTTTTCTTGCTGACTGTTTTCTTGTTGACTGTTTTGGTGTTGACTGTTTGTGGTTGACTGTTTTCTTGTTGACTGTTTTCTTGTTGATTGTGGTTGACTGTTATCTTGTTGACTGTTTTCTTGTTGACTGTTTTCTTTTTGACCGGTTTGGTGTTGACTGTTTTCTTGCTGACTGTTTTCTTGTTGACTGTTTTGGTGTTGACTGTTTGTGGTTGACTGTTTTCTTGTTAACTGTTTTCTTTTTGACCGGTTTGGTGTTGACTGTTTTCTTGCTGACTGTTATCTTGTTGACTGTTTTGGTGTTGACTGTTTATGGTTGACTGTTTTCTTGTTGACTGATTATAGTTGACGTTTTCTTGCTGACTGTTTTCTTGTTGACTGTTTTCTTGCTGACTGTTTTCTTGCTGACTGTTTTCTTGTTGACTGTTTTCTTTTTGACTGGTTTGGTGTTGACTGTTTTCTTGTTGACTGTTTTGGTGTTGACTGTTTATGGTTGACTGTTTTCTTGCTGACCTGTTGACCGGTTTGGTGTTGACTGGTTTGGTGTTGACCGGTTTTCTTGCTGACTGATTATGGTTGACTGTTTATTTGCTTGTGTCGGCAGTCTTGGCCAAAGGAGGATTCAGACAATTTTCCGAACTTTCTGGTTGGTTTCTACTGTCCGATATTGTAGCACGCTAACTTTGTTTGGGCTCCTGAACGACACGGGGGAGCAGCGTCTGCCTCACAACCAATCAGGTTAGAGGAGGTGGAGAACGGCTTTGTTTACAGTCAGAAAGAGCGGACCGCTCAAAAATGTTCAAATGTTGACGACACAGACATAAGAGAACACAGAGATATCGATATATTACCAAATAATCAATAACTAATAACTATTGACTGATATTAGAAGAGTTTTTGTTTACACACCACAAAAACAGAAGCTTCTTTAACAGGTTTCTGCCTTCCTCACCTTTAAACTGCTGTCAGAGGAGGATTTACAGAATTTCACAGCAGATGACAAGACAGATTTCAGTACAAAAATACGGTCGCTCAGCGCTCGCCCTTCTTCAGTGATTGTTTGAAATACAAAGAATATAACGTAGGTTGGTGTGCAGGATTTAGAGCTGTTTAAGGCTCTTCAGATGGAGTACCTGTCCAGCAGCAAACAGAAAACAGAAAAGTTTGAAAAATAGCTGATAAACATCGAGGAGCACGAGATGGAGCCACATATTTCCCCGCGGAGTTGGCACAGACAAAAACATAAAAAGATAAAAGGGGAGCCAATATCGGATTTACACTCATCAAACGCCAGGAGAGAACGACTCCAAATGAATGTTAATGGTGTTTCCTGTCTGCGATTATTGGAGAGGAAGAAACCTCTGACACAACAAGTTTCTCTAAAACCGACGATCAGCAGTTAAAGGTTAGCACGTCGTTTCACACCTTAACTCGGCCGTTACAAATGAAGGGTTATCAAAGGAGCATCAGATAAAGACTGATTTAGTTTTGACCTGCAGTCTTTTAGTCATCTGTCACCGTGGAAACCTGTTTACAGGAGAGCGCCCGGACAAATGTGGGAAAAGTTTGATAAAATGCTTAGCTGAGCTCAAAGAGCCAAAGATGTTGAATTTGATAATAAAAAGGAGGCGGAGAGACGTGATCTTCACAGATCTCTGTGGACCACTTCAGATTCAGGAGAGAAGTTCACGCTCAGCTGATCAGAGCTCAGATCAGTGGGTTGTGATCGTCAGTGTTGGCACAACGCTTTCCGAGTATCCGAGGTTCAGCTGTGGAGATCCTTATTTTAGCTCGACTGTGAATTGTGCAGCTGACAGCAGGTGTTTTATGAAGCCAACAGCTGGAAAGCTGATATAAAAAAAAAGCTGGCAGGCAGTGGGTATAACACCGCCACACACACACACCAACAAACAGGAAGTCACAACACACCAAAGGCTCTAAACCGGCAAACTCCAGAGACACGAGTCTTCTCCCAACTAACCTGTGAAAAACTTTATCAGAGTATTTATTCTGAAAAATTCAGCGTTTGAGAGAAAATTTTACACCTGCTGTCAACTAAACTGAGAGCTGTGCTCTATTTTCTCATTCTGATAAAGGTGACCATTATATTACCTAAAGACCTACCAACATGGCCAGCAGGGGGCGACACCACTGTTTACGAAGAACTCTTAAATTAGTAACATATTTTTCTGACGACAAGGCCCACTGTGAATTAATGTGTCTTTGTTCACACATAAAGCACACCGGATTGTAAGGCGCATTAAACATTAGCGCATTGATTGTTGTTAGCACGTCCTCCAGGCCCGCCTGTCTTACATGAATGCATTTCTAGTTTAGGGAGTGACACATTTCGACAGATTTTTGAGCACATTGTACGACATAAAATCGGTCAGTAAGCACAACAAGAACTCAAACATAAGGCGCGCTGTCAATTTTTGAGAAAATTGAAGGATTTTAGGTGCTCCTTATAGTCCGAAAAATATGGTAGATTAGTAGTTAATTTCCTCTTCTTGGTAAATTTATCACTTTGCCGCAAACGTTCATGATGTTTCAATTCTGCAGGATAGTGATTTTGTAGATTATGGCCGCACTTTAAACAAAAACAGGAAGCTAACCTTGTCCTACTTTGAAGCATGACTATCTTAAACTTGACAGGTCACTACTGTTGCAACATGGGAAAAAAGTCTACTAAATGCATTTTGCAAACAAGCTAAAACTAGCTAGTTGCTAATTTTGAATAGGCTTACGATTTCTGTAAGAAAATCCGGGACTGTGTGCAACATGCTCAGTCATACTTCCTACCATAATAATCGTTGTTCTCGTCTGCACACAACATTTTTGTTCTCATTCATGAAACGCTTAAATCAGGGACATTTCCGGAGACAGGTCATCCGATACAGGGACTGTCCCCAGAAATCGAGGACGTCTAGTCACCTGAGCTTACTCACTAGCTAACGTCATACTGTAACCTCTTATCAATGTTAGCATGTTTAACATTGAGTCTACTCCTGAATCAATGGGTGACTCCATGCTAGGTCAACTTTTTACGTTATTATGTTCTTAAAAAAAAAAAACGTTAAGCTCCGTGTCTGAGGTTATACTGTCATTCAAACATCACCTGTCAATATTTACTCCGGCCCGCGGAAACTTCCCCACCAGAGCTGAGAAAGAAGCTCCTTCGCCCGGAACGAAACGTCTTCTTTGACTTTCTATCAGCCCTGAAACAAAATCAAAATCAAAACCAGCCGTCCTTCCCACCCCGCGTACCCTGCTGGATGGATGACTTTGACGGTAAAATGCTGTCAATCCCCATTAAATCAGCCTGAACATCGACTTCCTCCCACACACACACACACACACACACACACACACACACACACACACACACACACACACACACACACACACACACACACACACACTTGAATGTCAACATGTTGAGATACTTTGAATCCCTTTTTTCTTTTTCCTCAAGCTCACTACATCCAGGGAATTCGGGGAAAAGAAATTGTCGCTGATACACAGAAACACACACACACACACACACACACACACACACAGTGACACTTGTACACAGAGTGAGTGCTGACCGCTGGAGGCTGAGAATAGATGTTCCAAGTTGGATGCAGTTGATGTAACTATTATCTCTCTCTCTCTCTCTCTCTCTCCTGGTTCATGTTACACCTCTCTCGTCTTCCCTCCTTCCTCCTCCTCTGCTGCTGCTGCTCTCTCATTCCTCTCTATTCATCTTCTCTCTCTCTCTCTCTCTGTTTCTCACTCTTCTTCCTCCCCTTTCCTCCCCTCTGACTAGGCTCAACTCACTCCAGTATTTTTAGTATTTGTGAGTAGGCGTCACCAGGTCCTTATGAATTTTCATGGGTTTGTTTAGTGTGTAGGCTGACACGCTGCTCTCTCTCTCTCCCTCTCTTTCTCTCTTCCTCGCTCTCTCACAACCATAACAGTTTAGGAACACAAGTGTACATGCAAACACACACACACACACACACACACACACACACACACACACACACACGTGTTAAGTGTGTAGGCTGACTGTTGGTTAATGAGGATGTTTGAAGTCTTGGGGAGAGCCAACACGGCCTACAGCAGGCCTGTCAAAATCAGCGCTCTCACCCTCTTCGTCGTCTTCGTCCTCCATCATGCTTTGCTCCGTCACCTCTCTCTCTCTCTCTCTCTCTCTGACTTGTGCCTCTTGTTTTTCTCTGAACTTGTCTCCAGCCGCAGGGACACCAAGATCAGTCCTTCTTCTTCTTCTTCTTCTTCAACGAGGAAATTAATTAGCCTACTTTATCAGCTCAATCTCACACCCGTACAGTCTGGCTTTACATGGTTGAAGAGCTAATCTGACGTGTGCGGCCCCGGGATTATCCACACAAACATATCCGTGTACATATAGGCGCCTGTGTTAGAGGTTGTATGTTACTTCAGGGCTACAGAGAAACACGTACTCTGCTCTTGTTTGCGTTACAGTAATTGCACCGCAGCCTGACGTGTGGGGCGGCTCCGTTCTATTAATTAAATAAGAGGCAGAGGCTCGTCGTGTCGGCGCCGCGCTTGTTTCTCTCTCCATTAGCTATGAGCATATGGATCATGTCAGGAAGAATTAGGCCACTGAGGTCCTCGTGTTCATCTCCGAGGAAGCACAAACAAAGACGAGCACACACTCACACACACACACGAATACATGTATGTTATATCCAGGAACACACACACACACACACACACCATACAAACATGTTTTCAAAGAAAGAGCGGGACTCCTCGCTCCTCCTTCTCCTCTGGCTGCAGCTGGTCTAGAACTTGTGACAGATCCTCACTGAGCGTGTCTGTGTGTTGTGTTGCATGTGTGTGCTAATTTGCAGCATTCAAAAGAGTGTGTGTGTGTGTGTGTGTGTGTGTGAGGGTTGTTCTCCTCTCTGCCCCCCTCTCCTGTCCCACTTCAGCCCAGATTAGAGCGCCCGTCTCCTGAGGGAAGTAACGATATAAAAATAAAGCTTTATACCAGAACACTGATCTAAACACATGCTCTTACGTACACATATTACACACACACACACACACACACACACACTGACAGCACTTGTACTAAGGTTGTATCATGAAAGCCTGCAGAGTCGAGCTCTTTTGCAGCAAACGCAGACGGATAGAAAAGAAGTTTTATTTCGCAGCTCCTAAAATCTGAAGTTCTGGTCTCCTGATCTCCTGAACCTCTTTTTTTGTTTCTTTGTTTGAAAAATCGCCTTTTTAGTAAAACTTCATTTTTTACTGAAGAGTCTAAACATCCATAAAACTAACAATGCAATCACTGGTTCATAAAACAGGTTCCTGGTCATAAAACAACGAATCTGAACTCACGGTGGCTCTGGATAAAAAATGATGACACCAAACTTCATGGCGGTAAACTCCAAAGACGAGTCAAAGAGGAAGTAAAGGGATAATCCGTGTTTTTTGAGTTCATCCTCAGCAATCGCTTCAGAAGTTTTAGAGACATTCAAGACAAAACTGTCCGTGTGAAGAAGAAGTTATCTGGGGTTTATCCTCTGGGCACCTCGATATGACCATCTTTTTAATAGGGATGGGAATCGAGAACCAGTTCTTGTTGAGAACCGGTTCCAAATGGTTCAATCCGTCGACATCATTTACATTTTATCTTAACGATTCCTTCTTTAAAAACGGTCTTGTGAGTGACAGTCTACGCGAACGGGAACAGAGACACAGAAAATAAACAGAGTTAGACATTTAACTGAGTTAAAAGCGTATAAAAACACTCGACCTGACAAAGTTTCACACACAAGTCCACCCGGCGTAGTCGTGTCCTCATGTTGGGGGTTCAGAATATGGTCACCCTAACGTATGTCCTGTGTTTACATAAACATGAACAGCAATTTCATCTTTTTAGACTCTCACTGAAGGTGGCGTACGTCTGTTTCTGTTATCAGAGACTCAGTAAAATTTTGAGTTAACGGTGAAAACTTATAGTCTACTTTACTTTTAAATCAAAGAACGGCATTGATAAGGGAATCGTTACAGAATTGAATCGTTAAGCAGAATCAATAATGACATTTGTGTCTTCAATCACCTGCGGCTCGGTCTTCTCTGTCGTTCAGTTTTTGGGATCTTCGTCCTTCAGGAGACTTTTAAGATTTCTTGAGAAATGAAATCCGTCTATAACCTGCTCTGACTGGGAGGTTATTAAAAGAAAAGTGTTTACATCCTACAGAGAGAGAGAGACTTCCTCTCTGAACGGAGAGGGTTAAGGAGATTACCTGTTTGGTTTTCTGTCACCAGGAGAACATGAGCTGACGTTAGCCGACGGCGAGGACGACGGTTTAGTTTAGACTCCATCTTCTCCTCGCAAACTTCTCCTTTCTTTGGCTGTTTTGCTCTGAAAGTACCGAAAGAAGCGTCACAAATGAAAATCCTAAACATCACATATATCTGATACTGACGAGTAGATTAGATCGTGAAACCGTCACATTAACAGCTGATCCGGTTGTCTCTGGATTTTTTTGCTCTCGGGGTAAATAAGGAGTGACTTCTGTTCTAATCCTCCGTGATAATTGATCGTGTTTGACTAAACTGTGGAGCTGAGGGAGGATTTTGTGAGTGAAGGTAGGAAGTTAAAGGAAGGACAGATTGATTGACAGGCGAGGCAGCCAATGAGGCGGATAGACAGATGGAAGGATAGAAAGAAAACTCAGCGAAGAGCCGGACAAATAGAAAAATGTAACCTTTACTTATTTACAGATTGTACAGAGGTACTGAGTGACAAGGTAGTATTTACAACACAACTAGTAGCTTAGAAACCCCTGAACTTATACACAAGTGAGATACACAGCAGGAGACCCACAGGACTACACACCAACCAACCAACCAGAACTGTGCTGAAGGGGTCCACCTGGGCCGGACTACTCGGCCTGGGAACATTTCACACCTGTTCCCCGACGGCGCCCAGCAGGAGTCGTTTTTAACCGGTTTGTAGGGGGGCCGCGTCGGCGCGTGTAGCCCTGCAGGTCAACTCAGGGATAACTCAGGTGTTGCAGCAAAATAGGTACCACCAGAAACACAAGCACTTCATGCAAGTTAAAAAAAAAAAAATCAGAGAAATCAAACAAAAGGTCGGTGTAAAAATCTCTGTGATGGTGGACAGAACGAAACTCATTCTTCACGCTCTCGTAACCACGACGGTACAGACGCAACATGTGTGTGTGCGTGTGTGTGTGTGTGCATGTGTGTAACTGTATTTGTGTTTCATGAGTAAGAGCCGGGTCAAATGTTATGTGTGGGACGAAGGAAAAGAGAAGAGAAAAGCGCACACACACACACACACACACACACACACACACACAGATCACAAACAAGCTCTCGGTACAGAAATCATCCTGTCTTATATAAATGCCTGCCTGGTGTAAAACACACACACACTCACATTTGCAAACACACACACACACACACACTCGCTCGCTCTCAGAGGTGAAACAGCACAGACTCGTAGTGGAAGAGAACGATGTGGGTGGGAGGGGGTTTGTTTGAAGCACACAGGCTGGACTGAATCTGATCCAGCTCTGCGTTCGAAGTTAACTGGTTAGCCGACCGTTAACTGTTAACCAGTCTCTTTAACCAGCAGCGAGGGCTATACAGTGAGGTCCCATCCAAACAGCACACCAGAGGAGGAGGAAGAGGAGGAGGAGGAGGAGGAGGAGGAAGAGGAGGAGGGGAGGAGGAGGAGGAAAATAAAATCACAAGAATTGAAAAACATGCCAGTCTTTTTTTTTCTTAAAGAAGCAGAATAAAAAGCCACATCGTTATTGAAATGAAACTCAACACTGAATACCGTTCAAATCAAACAAATGAAATCAGTTTTTCTAACATTGAAAACAAAGAGTTCTCTGTACAGAAGTATAATATTGCAACCTGATCATTGTGCATATAACTCACACACCAAACCAAAAGAGGGGCAGTGGTAGGGCTGGGCGATACACCAAGAATTTACCGAAATTTATGACGATAACTGATTTCATTTCGCCCATATCAGTATCAATCAAAGTTTTGGATGTGTGTAGGTAGGCTATGGTCTCATGTCTCTTTAAGACGCTGTCCTACGTCAGAGACGTGACTCCACGACGGGAGACGGGAAGTAGACGAAGTTAATGTGGGAGGGGGTGAGCAGCTTGTGGAGTAGTTATCGTCCGTTTATCTAAGTGAACTGATCAATATATCGGGATATTGATTTGAGGCCGTATCGCCCAGCCCTAGGCAGTGGTCACCGTTCAAAGGTGCTTTTTTTTTCTTCTTCACTGTCTCATTGCATTCTCTGCAGCCAATATATAAATAAATATGTGTGTGTGTGTGTTTATGTGTGTGTGTGTGAGAGAGAGAGAGAGAGAGAGAGAGAGAGAGAGGGAATAGAGACAGACGCTCAGTTAATGGGATATCAAGTCCTTTTTCCATCAGAATCCTTGTGCTCGAAAATCAATGCCCTTACTCAGTAGATTATGGATTTCTAGCACACTCATACACACATTGTCAGCCTGTTGAGTGTGTGTATGTGTGTGTGTGTGTGTGTGTGTGTGTGTGTGTTTGAGTGAGTGTTGCCTCTGTAATAACGAGTCACTCTGCAAACTCTCCGCGGAGACACGTGACTCTCGCAGCGCCGTGTCCTCGCCAAATACGAGAGAGGCACACGAGCAGCAGCTACTCTGACGCCCGTCCAGGAGTTTGAATCTCGACGAGCAAATCTGCACACGGCCTCTAAAATTCACTACGGAAACATCGAAACGGGCCTT